CATCATACCACGGAAGACGAAATTCTATAAAAGCACACATCGTGTGTTGAGTCGTGCCATACGTGGCGCTCATGTGCTTCTCACGTTTAGATTTCGCGCATGCGTCATGTTGTTGCTGATTCTGGGAAATAAAAAAATAAGGCGTTGCAGTGATTTCCATTGACATAAACTTAGTACGACGTTTTGTGAAAAATGGTTAAAGGTAAATTTGTCCTTGTGCTTAACTAATTAAGCACTTCACCATGAAGGCGTATGGGGGAGTGGATATATAGATTAACCTCGGCACTGGTTGGAGGTGAGTGGTCAGCTTTATGTTTCGGCCGCTTTAACCACGGGGAAAGAGCCCCCGGTACACATTAGATAGGACGCTGGGTGGGCCGCAGCACCGGTCTGGACGATATGGAGGAAAGAATTTTTTGCCCGTAGCGGGACTCGATCCAGTACTTGGTTCAGAGAATTGCATGGGTGGTGGTCACAGCGATACCATGGTGCTCTTTTAGCCCTGCTTTCTTTAAGGCAGAAAAGTGCGCTTAAAACTACGAAGCCAAAGCATATCTATAAGGCAGTAGAAACCACGCGATATGCTTGAAAACGTGAAAACGTGGATCAGGAAAATTTATTAAAACCTGTGACATTTGACGTTCTGACAGCGCTGAGTTTCAAGATTTACTGTCTTATAGTATGAGATGCCGTGTGGTTTGGTAAATAGTACAGCGGATCTCTTGGAAACGTTGGTACATGTCTAGAAGATAGCAAGGCGCAGACCACACGCATCTTGATATCAAAACCTGTTTCTAAACTTTGCTGCGTGACGTAACACCGATGTAGCAACACGCGTGTTATCCAAGTTTTCCTGCCCAGCGGTTACTAATAAATTCGCGTTTATCATTCTTGTCTTTCGTAAAATGTTGAAACACAAGTCTGAACTGGCTCTCACGTCATCTCTTGTAATAAGCACAAGCGTCTGGCGTCTGACCTGACGGTCCAGATATAACCTGCGGGACTGGTGTGGCTCAGTCGGTAAAGCTACGGGCTGGATTTCCGGCAAGGGGAAGAGGGTTTTTCTCTTTTCCATAGAGTTTATGAAGGCCCTGGGGCCTACCCAATTTTCTCTCAATTGGGTATCGGGTGTAAAGCGGCCGGAACATGAAGCTGATCACTCACTTCCATCCAGTGCCGAGGACGAAAGTGGTGGAGCTATATCTCCACTACCCCATGTCTACATCGCGTGGCGCTTAGTTAATTAAGCATGTGTACAATGTTACCCTTCCCTTTTACAGCCAATCCCACAGCTACAGCCTATGGTTCACTTTCCCTTCTGCAACTCAAGAACTGGGTGCTTCAAGCCCGTTCTGATGCTCCAAAGTTTCAAAACTCTTCTTGATATCTACTTTTATGTCTTCTCATATCTCTCTGTCTTTCGGCAGTATACCACTTTCAGTAGTCTGTTACCTTACATTCTAGTTGCGTACACTTTACAGTTTTTATTGTATCTTTATGTCTGGGGGTTTGCGGTAGCGTAGTTGGTTGAGGCACTATGCTACAAGCCGGGAAGCCGCAGGTTCGATTCCCCGATGAGGTCATTGGATTTTCTTAGTTGACCTAATCCTTCCAGCTGCACTATGGCCCTGGGGTCGTCTCAGACTCTAACAGAAATCAGTGCCAGGAATCTTCATGAGGTAAAGGACGGCCAGCGCGTAAGGCTGACAACCTCACCGCCATCTGTGAGCCGATTGTCTAGAAAATGTGGGAGCCTCGACGTCTCACAACCCTATGGGCCTCCACGGCCTGTTACAGGGGTAGCTTTACTTTTTATCATCACACAGGCTAACACAAACGTGGAACCACTTGTGTTCCGACGTAATTGTTATGGCTTGCTGGACCACAGAGCATTACGTCGGGAAGTATCAGAGGGTGAGTGACCAAACTTGCAGAACACTGAAACCGCATATGACATGTTTTCAGTAGCCTACTTTTATTATTAATCTCTTTTGTAAAAAAAGGAATGACTAATATTTATTTTTCCCCCAGTAAGCCACGCAGACGATTCAAAAGAGCCGCATCCCGCTCGATAGCCACAATTTTGTTACTTCGGCTGGATTTTGAACTCGAAATTCCGTGAAACTCACTGAGGAGCACCGTATCATAACGGTGGCGGTTGGCGGAGCCGGGTTTTGGGCATTATGAAGAACCTTGAGGGTACCGAGACGCCCCTCCCCTCCCCCCACCATTCGAATTCCTCTGTGGCACGCAACCGCACAACAAAGAAACGACGCTTGCCTTTACGGACACGAATAGAGCAGATTTGGTATGAGAAAGTCACGCACGCTTCCTGATTGCAGAGCAATTAGCTGTCTGCAATGCTACGGGTCTCTGGAGCAGAAACTTCGCCTAAATAACGTCTTTATATTCAGTTCGTACCTCACAGAAAACACGCTAAGTCTCGAAGAGTACAGTGCCGTCGCATTTTATGCGAAGGATGCGTTCCTCAAGTTCTCGCATAATTCAAGGCAGGTTTTCTCACAAGAATAAACTCATTGCCGAAATATTTCAAGCGTTGCGCATAAAATGAGACCTTATTAAAAATTCTTTTATATATCATTATTTCAAATTAGCATAAAATGCGACCTCACTGTACTGCCTTCTGACACGTGACGACGCGTAGTCCAATGGCAGTTCACGGACGCTACGGTAGAACGTACTGCCTTCGTTTTCAGTGTCGATCAAGGTTGCTTTTTCTTGGCTTACTCTCCAACTCCGAATGTGATGTTTCGCTGAACTTTTACTGGACTACACGACGTCACACCGCTGTGAAAGAACCTCACTACCAACCCACCAAATCTCCATTACAAAGACCATTCAGTTAATCCTGTTTAGGATTTATTTATTTATGGTTTATTTAACAACTCTTCGCCAAGTATAATTTTAATGATTAAGTCAAGGAGGATGAAATGGGCAGGGCATGCAGCATGAATGGGGGCGAAGGTGAATGCATATATGCTATTGGTTGGAAAGCCAGAAAGAAAGAGATGACTATGAATACCAAGACATAGGTGGGTGGATAATATTAAAATGGATCTTAGATAGGATGGAGTGGTATATACTGGATTGGTCTGGCTCAGGATAAGGGCTCTTGGGAACACTAATTAACCTTCGGGCTCCCTAAAACGTTGTGAAATTTTTGAGTAAATGAGCGACTGGTGGCTTCTCAAGACGGGATCAGCTCCACGAAGTTAGGTTGCCGACACTATCAGTAATTTACAATCCATCACAATGAATGGAAAGGATGTGAAAGGAAGCGATCGTGACCGAGTTTCATGTGTTGTCCTGGCCTCGATTGAAAAAAACTTTGGTATAGTCTCCGTCCCGCCCGGAATTCGAACCGAGCACGTTCCGAATGCAAGTCAGAAATGCCACCGCTTCTGCCAGTTTGCTCCTTTAGCGAAATGTTAACTGCATGCAGTTGGTAGGCTTTCATATAACAACTTCACTGCTTTAAACGGATTCAGTGTGAAGCCCTGTGTGGAATATCACTATCAGCGTACATTAACCAGCTGACCAGTGACAGTCACATATAGGTGACTGTCCAATCAGAGCCAAGGATAAACTATCAGTAATGTGATTAGCGTTCGATTCCCGGCAGAGGCAACTTCGCCATCACGTGCCTTCCAGTGTGTCCGGTGGCTACCTAAGGGCGGCCGCACACCAACTGCGTCAAGACAAGCATGAGACATGAGACAAAATACTGTCTTGCTTCATTCGTGATTTGTCAGCATCATGACTCACCCCGGTGTGCGGCGGTTTTCATAATCTCATTCGTTTCAACTGTGCTCCTTTCTTTGCGTCATGTCGCAGACATCGTGTCTTGACGCCTGCCGGTGTGCGGCCTACCTAGGCTCTTAACCCGTGAATGAGGCGACCGGAGCATGAATCTGAGAATTCGCTTCCTTCCTTTCCTTGCCGACAATGAATGGAGTTTTGTCTCGGAAGCTAAGGACAGATTAAATTCAGAGTGGGCATTACCATTCATTTCAGAATCTTAGTCTTCCATCCTGATATTATATTTTTGAGCATCCTGTTGCATTGATGTGAACACATATAAGACGGGGAGCACAACCGTGGACGCCGAACGGAGAGAGCCTTGTTCACAAGAAGGCGTGTTCTAGTGTGAACAGCGATAATGCAAGAAGGTAAAGTTGTCCCTGTGCTTAACTAGTCAAACATTACGCAATGAAGGCGTATGCAGGAGTGGGCGGTATAGACATAAGTTTTTTTTTGACCTCGGCACCAGTTGGAGGTGAGTGGTCAGCTTCACGCCCCGGCCGCTTTACCCCAGGGGACCGATAATGCAGTAGTACTGAAATATAAGTTTCCTAAAGATGACCAAGGAAAGCCGAAACACAGTAATTTGCGCGATTTTAGTGCTATTTTAAATTAAAAAGATTGTGAGCATTTTTAAGTTGCATTAAGGACCGAGGTGAATGAGTGTGAGCTCCATCTGAATGCTGCTTCATGTGAGTGTGGGTGCCTGGGAACAGGGTGCTGAGAGATATACGGCGTAGGAAATAACAGAATAATGAAAACTACATAATGAGGAACTTCGTAATTTTCACACTTCACTAAACATTATTACGGTATTCAAATCAAGGAGAATGTGATGGGCGGGTCATGTAGCACACATGTATGTGACCAAAATTAACAATGCTAACAATTAATAATGAGCGTATTAAATTTGGAGAGGTCTGGTGTGACGGTAACTCTCTAGACTTGTAGTTTGAGACATGCTCGGTTTTAACCCCAGCCGAAACACCGGTAATCCAGACCGAGGGTTTTCATGGCTTTCCTCAGTCCCTCCACGCATACACCGGGATAATATCTCTATCAGGCCACAATCGATGTCTCCCTACACAGCGTTATATTACAGAAGGCAGCAGTCTTAACAGTCATTTTTGTATTAAACACGCTCAGAACCTGTTTGGTGGTAAACCAACTTGACTTACCGAACGTCTGTTACTCCACGTCACGCAGTCCACAGGTTGCAGACGGTGACACACACACTGACACCTGTCACGTGAAACAGTAACGAGGACCAGACACTAAAAGCACCGCGAACAGCCACGGTTTGCCACGTTACTGCAACCACTGCAACCTCACTCCGCTTGCACCGCGACCAGCAACACATCTACTCTGCGGAAGGCTTCGAGGCCATGTCTGTGCGGGCTAGAACCGAACCTGATGGTCAGAGGGGGCCCCTGCGAGAGGTGGGAGGGGGGCAGACGACAGGAAACGACGACGACAGGGGCACGAACCACGCAGAATAATGGAGGGTCACGTGTACGTATTCCAAAACTTGATTGGTCAAATGATTCTTTTCTGTTTTCTACCATATCATTACAATTAGTATGGAAAGTAAGCCTGTTATTGACGAACAGGTGAATGCTCTAATGGGGGAGAGGGGACAAGGGTTCAGAAGGCAGGTGGAGTCTGTAATGGACAAGTATACTAGAAAACAAGACTCCCATAACAATGTAAACTGGTCGTTAAACATGGACACATGTGTATATCGGAGAACCGTTATGACGTGTTCATTATCACATTTGGGGTAAATGAGATGTCTGGAAGGCTTCAGTAGAGTGTTATTTTCGCATTCGTGCTTCGTGCTGTGAAGGCACCCTGTTCAAATCCCGGCCCGGAGACAAGTTATTATTTTTTCCCTAAGCCCCTCCCGATAAATGCCAGAATAGTATCTCAAGTGGTAGGGGGACGCGCGGTAGCGTAGTTGGTTGAGGCACTATGCTACGAGCCGGAAGGTCACGGGTTCGAGTCCCGGTGAGGTGGATTTTTTTCAACTGACCTAATCCTTCCAGCCACACTATGGCCATGGGGTCGACTCAGTCTCTAACAGAAATGAGTACCAGGAATCAACCTGTGGGTAAAGGGCAGCCGACGCGTAGGGCTGACAGCCTCACCACCATCTGTGAGCCGATTGTCTAGAAAAACATTTTCCAGACAGTCGGCTCAGAGATGGCGGTGAGGTTGTCAGCCTCATACATCGGAAGCCCTTTACCCATAAGGAGATTCCTGGTACTCATTTCTGTTAGAGACTGAGTCGACCCCAGGGCCATATTGCGGCTGGAAGGATTAGGTCAGTTGAAAAATCCAGTGACCTTATCAGGAGTCGAACTAGCGATCTTCCGGCTCGTAGCATAGTGTACCCCGCTTTCTGCAGAATCATGATGCTTCATCCCTCATAGGTGTGCGTATTCTCCCCAGCACCCTGTTTCCAAACACCCTTAGTCTCTATTCTCCTCTTAATGCAAGAAATCGAATTTCACACTCACACAAATCAACATTAAAATCACTATTTCATGTATTTTAAGCACTGCGTTCTTAGGCAGTAGGCAGGAAGACAAAAGATTCCGAATTTAATGATATTGTCACTTAATAGAGTGACTGTAGACGGGGTTTGGATTGGTAATCGGATTTATTGGACTCTTACACTCGTAAGTAGAAGTAACTGCGACAGTCTCACTGAGTTACAGACTCCAAAGATCACTGGAACTACAGCACACAGACAGTCTTCTCAATTTTCACTAGCCGTTGCTTGGTAGTGGCTTCCAATGGCGTATGTCCCCCTTCCTATAGATTCCCGAACTGTTCCCGACCTCAGCTAGCAGCTTATCACTTCTCACATTGCAACTCTAAACTGACTCGATAACAACTGAAAAAGTCGAAGTTGTGTTACTACCGGCGGTCAGTCGCCAGTCTATCTTGGTGTCAAGCCCCTATCTGGGGTCCAAGACCACATTTTTGTTACTGTCAGACAGTTGCGGGTTTGTTGATGTGGGGCTCCCTCTCTGATGAGAGGACGAGCCTGTCGTTTACAATTACTGGCGGTTCTCGCCAGCGTAGTTATTCTCGGGTCCCAGTCCCTCGGGACTCATGACCATATTTTATTGTCTCAGATTCGAGATTCCCCCAACCTGGAGGGCCAGGTTCCGATATTTATATCGCCCCAGGAAGATGCTGGCCCAGTTATACCTCCAAGCACTGGTTTCCCTTTTCGTCGCCTCCTACGACTCGCAGGGCTACGGAGGAGTTTATTCGAACGCTATGAAAGCTCTTCCGTCGAGTCACGTGCGGAACTTGGCCGCGCTTTTTACCTCACGTAATTATTCACTTAAACGGAATGAGGTGGCGTTTTTTGTTTCGCACTGTTGCACTACAAGCAAATGCATTCACTGCTGAGCGTTAAGTCGGAGAGTTGACCTTTATGTCACTGAAGTCAATGCGCATTCATCGGACCGTATTGTTTCCTATGCTCTTTCAACTGCAAAGGTTACTAATTCCATTATGTAGAATCCTTATGGAGAGAGCAGTAGTCGGTCAGGTAAATTTCTGCTGGCTCTAGCTAGCACAGTCATTCTTAGTCCCGAGACGTTTTACTCAAGATCATATTTTTCTGTCTCACGAGTCTGGGAGTCGTGTGACTGTCTCCTGCTCAGCTAATTAAGGAATTATGGATCCCCGATCGTTCATTACCGTGTCCGCAAGAGCAAGCCTCTGGTTCCTAACTTCAGCGATACAATTCCAGTCCGCATTCTCTCGTCCCATTTGCATGAGATTCATCTTTATAATATCCTCCCACTTATGCGTAGATCTGCCAAGAAACTGAATGGAAATCCCATCCAGATGAGTACTTGGTTGTAAAATGTGGATTTATGTCGTAACCCTTGTCAGGTGGGCACAGGTCAAGGTGGCAGAAGGTCATTCCTGGAGGCGCAATACACAACAGCAATTTTTACTTACTTTATGTAACGATGCTGTTAGCACCGCGGACGCTGTAATATTGAATACAAAAAGAAAAACAGGCCATGGAGGCCCATAAGGTTGTGAGACGTCGTGGTTCCCACGTTTTCTATACAGTCGGCTCACAGATGGCGTTGAGGTTGTCAGCCTTATACACCAAGCGCCCTTTGACCCCCAGGAAGTTCCCTGGTACTCATTTCTGTTACAGGCTGAGTCGACCCCAGGGCAACAGTGCGGCTGGAAGGATTAGGTTAATTAAAAAATCCAGTGACCTCATCGAAAATTGAATCCGCGACTTTCCGGCTTGTAGCATAGCTATTTCACTGTACAGTACACTGTACGCTGTACAGACGACCAACACTCCATGTCCTCACACTAGTTGCACCGAGATAGAGCTATTTCACTGTACAGTACACTGTACACTGTGGAGACTAGCAACACTCCATGTCCTCACACGAGTTGCACCGAGATAGAGCTATTTCACTGTACAGTACACTGTACAGACGAGCAGCACGCCATGTCCTCACACGAGTTGCACCGAGATAGAACTATTTCACTGTACAGTACACCGTACACTGTACAGACGAGCAGCACGCCATGTCCTCACACGAGCTGCAAAGTGCGTTGTTGTTGACGGTGGAATTTTCGAAAATGTATTACACTAGGAAAACTGTACCAAATTTTTCACTTGAACAGTATATACCGGTATTAGAAACAGTACGTAATATCTCTTTCTTATCAACAGTTTTGGAACTTTACAGTGAAATAGCTCTATCTCGGAAACCGTTCGGAATAGGACACATGTACATATACATTTTTTTTTGCTTAGAATGGCAGGTGCTATGACCCCCTCCCGGGACACTCTGTACATTGGCAAAAACGGGGAAGTACTTTGAGGTACGGGTGAAGCGGCAGTTACTGCAGAGTTGTAAAGCATTACGCATACAGAGCATGACGCCTCTGACGTGGCCCACGTGGTCTGGTGACGCCCTGCTTGTGACCTGTTAATCTTAGACTGACTCAGATATTTTCCAAAAACGGACATAACGCGTTTGGACGCGCCCCATGCATTTCATAAATAAATGTGACGATTTCTGCGAGGCAGTAGCTGCAACTGGAAACTGCTCCTGTTGAACAAACAGAGACTAGATGGAATTCGGCTCGGGAGTCAATTGAAGGGGTTGAAGTGCAAGATGTGAAGAAACATGCCCAGCCCGCAGGGTTAGTCAGTGTTTGCTTGATGTCCCAGCTGGTTAGGCCATGATTGTGTCAGTGACGTGGTGGACTTCCATAAAGCAAATCTGAAAACAGCTTGTCTTTCGCTTATTAGTATCACTGACATAACTAACACGGTGTAGCTGAGTCCTTCTGAAAAAGCTAATAGTTTCAGAGTAAGGAACCAGAGGATCATGACTGTTTACACAAGAGCCCTTATCCGGAGCCAGATTAATGAAGCCAACACCTCGCATCCTGTTTCTTTAAGATCAATTTTAATATTATCTTCCATTCTACGCCCGAGTCTTCCAAGAAGTATAATCCATTCAGATTTTCCAACCATTTTTTTTACGTATTTGTTGTCTCTGCCGTTTCTGCTACATGTCCTACCCATCTCATCATTCCTTATTTGATCATTTTAATAATATTTAGCGAACAATGTCATTGCAGAATGCAACCAGTGTCTATGAAAACCGAATGTAGGAAAGCTTCAGTGAGAAGATTAAGCCAAGTGCTGGGTCAGAGTTGAAGCCCAGAACTTAAAGACCGACGATGTGATAAGGTGCTGCCTGATCAGCACTGTCGCACATCTCAGTCAGTGGTGACAGATGAGTATGGAGCGATGATAAAGTGATCATGCAAATGTCACAGAATTGTGTATGATTGAATGCAGTGCTGTGAAAAGCATTGTAAACACTCATTTCATGGAGTAAGAGATAAGGTTCATAGGTTAAGTTTCACTTGTGAAAATCGTACATGGAACAGAAACAGCAATATTAAGTACTGTCTCTGCCCTTAGTTGGAGTCGGTATAGCTTCAGGCCACGGGATGGATGGCCGGGATTCAATTCCCGACAGGGGAAAGATTCTTTTTTTGTTCTCCACGGCGTCCAGACCGGTTCTGGGGTCCCAGCCTCCTGTCCAATGGGTACTGGAGGTTCTTTCCGTGGAGTATAACGACAGGACCTGTACCTCCACTCCCCCATACGTCTTCATGGCGTGGTGCTTGCTTACTTAAGCACAGGAACGCATTTACCCTTTTTTAATTCTTATTCCTCTAAACACCACTAACTGGCTGTTTTGTAATGGAGAAGCGGTGTGTTTTCTGTGAGGTAACAACAGATTTTTTTTAGGCTCGCTCGCCATTCTAAGTGCCTACTAAAGCCGCCCATCCGTCTGCATGTTTGCATGAAGTAACTCTAG